TCTCGATTGCTGCCTGACCCCCACAGCTCTCTCGGTCCCACACATCTCCCTCACAACCTGAGGGTCACCACAGTAGGCACTAAGTATCAGAACTGGCCCTGAAGGCTACAGACACAAGGGTGCCAAGGCCAGGCTGTGGGGCTGGGCTGCTGTGTTTTTTGGACTCTGCTCTATGTAGGACCCAAGAGTCCAGACCCATCCTTCCACCCGCAGACCAAGGGACCCACACCCCATCCTTCTTTCCTCAGACCTAGGGGTTCGGGGTCCATTCCTCCTCCCTCAGACCCGGACCTCCAGACCCCAGCCCTCTTCCTTCAGAGGGTCCACACCACACAGCCCTCCTCCCTCAAACCCGGGAGGTCAAGGCCCAGCTCTCCTTACTCAGACCTCAGTCTCAGGGTTCTAGGCCCCAACCCTTCTTCAGACAGGGATCAAAAGGTCTAGCCCTCCTCCTCTATAATCAGAGTTTTCAGGCTTTTCATCTCCTCCCTCAGACTTAGGGGTTGAGTCCTTGGACTTTCTGCCTCAGACCTGGGGGTTCAGGACTTAGCCCCCCACATGCCCAGGGTTGAGTCCCCTGACCTCTTTCTTCAGATCTGAGGGGGTCTAAGCCTTAGCCCTTCCTCCAGACCCAGGAATCAGACTTCAGCTCTCCTCCTCAGACCCAAGACTCCGGGCTTCTGCCCTCCTCGAGACCCAGAGATTGAGGCCTTAGCACTGCCCCCCTGAGATCCAGAGGTTACATGTTCCTAGCCCTCCTCCCTCAGACCCAGTGGGCCACACCCCAACCCTTCTCCCTCAGACCCTGCAGTCTTAATTTGAGATTCCCTCCCTGCAGCCCCAGGATTTTGTCTCCTGCTTACTCCACGGATAGAAAAATCCCTGGATTCCATTCGCATCTGTGGGAGAAAAAGGGTGATGTTGGGAGATTGTATGGCAGCCAAGGTGGCCCTGTCCACAGCCCCCTAATGTCCTTATCAGTACCCTCACCTGAGCCCTGTATGAGCAGGAAGAGGCCCAAAGCTGAGATCTCAGCCCCCGCCATGTTAGCTCCCCAGACCTCTGAGACCTCTATGGAGAGAAACCTTGAAGGACATCACCTTAGCAACAACTGGGCCCCGCCCCAAAGCCTCAGCCCCAGAATTCTCAGTTCTGTTGCCAGGGAGTCCCCTCAGCAAGGGGTTCACAAGGAAGAGTGCCCTGGCCCTATCATTTCTGTCTAGGAAGTAGCTCCTTTAGCATCTGTGGAGAAGAGGTGGGTGGGTGTTGGGTGTTTTCAGATTTAGAGCCTCCTCAGCAAGGAAAGAGAAGCCAGGACCAAGCCTGGTGCTGGAGATGTCTCTCCTTTTCCGTGGGGTACCTGATGGGGTATGGATCTGGAACCGGGGTGATCTTTGAGCTGTAGAATCCCCTTTCTTTCCTTCCCCAAGGTCCAAAGAGGCAGCCTCAAGTGGCCCAAGTTCAGAACCCTTCATTGCTAGGGCATCCTTCCCTTTAGCAACCAGGAAAAAATGGTCCTAGGACATTGAGGTCTCATTGAGCCCCATTGTTAGAGAATGGTTTCCCCAGCAACCGATCAGAAGGAGAAAGGGATAGTGGGGACTGGTGGGCTGGCCCTGGAATTCTCACCTCAGGCTGCCCCAGGCCTCTGCCGTAGGGAACACATGCCAGGGCCAGGGTGATCATGCCTGGCCCTGCTGAGATTGAGGTGTGGACACTTTAGTGTGGCTGTGATGGTGACTCGTGCCAAAAGTTCCAAGTCCTCAAAGAGACTCAGTTTCCCTATCTGTGAATGAGGGAACACAAACTAGAGCATGCCGAGTTGTTTTCTTTGTGTTTGGTCTACCCAGGTTTGCTGAGGAGGCAGACTTCCAGGAAGCCAGATTGGGGTTGGGGCTAGG